GGTTGGGTTCTGTGCTGACAGCTCAGAGCCTGGAGCCTGCTTTGGATTCTGTGTCTCCTTCTCTCTCTGCGCCTCCCCCGCTCACACTCTGTCTCTCTCTCTCAAAATTAAACAAACATAAAAAAATTAAAAAAAAATTAAAAAATAGAAAAACATTTTATTCTTAATATGATTTTAATATTTAAAATATTTATTGATATTTTATATTAAAATTTAATCTTTCATTCAATATGTATATGTCTAAAACATTATGAATTATGAATTTCTTATATTACAAACTAAATACTTAAAATGTTGTATATATCCTTTTTTCAGTGATGGAGTTATCAAACTATGTTTTCCCACCTCAGTGTTTTCATTATTTTTATTCACAACTATCCTCAGTAATTTCCACGCTATTAATGACTCACTCAATTTATAAAACAGTGAAATGGTGTAGACTAAGTGCTGTCTTTCTGAGGTTAAATTTCTCCTTAGTGTTATTAAGTAACGTGTTCACTGAGGCTAATGGTACAAATAAAAAGACACAAAGATTTAGCTATTTGTATTAACACCTATTTTCTCCCCATTAGATTTCCTGATGTCACATGAAGTACCCTATGTTACCAACACAGTGTGTTACCTTGCACATATTTTTCTGTGCTTCTATAAGGATATGATTGTATATATGTATGATTTGCTATTTTATTTTTAATCACAAAAGGGTCTTCTCTATGTACGCATTTAGTAAAGTTACTCTTTTACTTATAAATACGTTGTGATATTCCTCAAGGTTATTAGATATAAGCCTAATGTACTTTTTTAGTGGTACAGATCTTTCCCACTGTAAATCGCCATCCTATCAGTCAGAGTACAGTGCAGAAAACAGAAATCCCTCTGTTTTAGGCAGAAAGGGGTTTAGAGATTTCAACAAGTTTGCAAAACTGGCAGAGAGAACTGTAGGCTGGGCTTCCAGGAGTGTTTCCCCAGTTGACCAGTAGTATAGGCACTATGACATCCGAGGCTGCCTCTGGACCTGTGTTGGGCGTATGCCTGCTCCTTGGATCAGAAGGCTGGGGATATGGGAGCTGTAGCCACTGCTTCCGCTGCCACAGGGCCTCAGTACCCACAGCTGGTAGACGGACACTCAACTCTACAACATTCAGCTATACACATCTCTATATGTATAGTCACATCTCTATGGCCTTATTTGCCAATAGAGAGAAAACAAAACAAAACAAACAAAACAAAAGCAACCAATAATCAGGAAGATGCCTTTTACCTCAGTTCTACTTTCCATAATATGCCTGACTGTTATCTCCTATTGGTTGAAACTAATGTGCATCCTGAACACTTTCACAAATAAAAATAGAAACTGCCTGCCTTCCTTCCTGCCTGCCTCCCTGGCTTCTTTTCTGTTCTTTTTCTTTCCTGGGCTCTGATACACAAGAAAACACTTTAGAAGGAAGTTGCAAAGGAGGTTCACTGAGCCATTAATTACACTTTATTCACGTCAGATAACTTAGTCAATTACTTATCTTTTGAATAAATTCAGAATGAATACGGTTATTAACCACTACTAACAATATTAAAATTAGTAACTTTATATATGTTGTTTTTATGTCCTGGTTCTTTGTATGTGATAGAATCTCAAAAGTTGGATTGTTGTGTCAGAACTAACTGTATTTTTCAAGACAGGTATTACTGAAATATGTTCCAAAAAGTTTTGTTTGTATATTTGTACATATGTATGAGTATATGAGCAATACAGATGTCAGATTTCTCACTTTACTCAACACTGTAGGTATTTTAAAATTATACTAACTTAATTGTTGGGTAAAGAAGTGTTGGATTAATTTTCATTTTCCTTCCTGGTAGTGAAGTAAATTCATTTCATTTCTTTTTTTAGCCATTCAGCCATTCAGATTTCCTCTTTTTTTTTTTTTTTTTTTTTGCTTGCAAAGATTACTATTCATGACATTCTACATGATTTTAGATATTCCAATGATGAACATTTTCGAAGTTATGTTTATTATCGTTTGTATTAGGAAAGCAATTAGCACACAACAATATGTGTGATTGCCTGGATTTTATTGCTTAGGGCAGGGCTAAAGTAATAGTACTTCTTAAACACTGCAGATTTTAAGAATTATACGTATAGTACTTAAGGTGTGTTCATGAATGTTTTATAACTTCATTTCCTAAGCCTTCCAACAAACACCTGTCAGTCACATGGCAGTACAGATTATTAAGGCACTGAATTCTCATGTTTATTTTTTATTCTTTTTATTGGAAAACACATGGGAGAATCTATTTCTAAAGATTTACAATTGTTTGGTATATGAAATATGTATAATTTTAGGCATCAGAGCTACCACGTCTGATCTGGAAAGTACATTAGAAACTGGTTTGGGGTCTGTTTATGATTTTTGTACTTATGTAGATTCAGTCCTAGAAAAATGGTTACAAATAAAGATATTTACGTGTAGACATAAAGACGCTAGTGAAGAACACTAGTGAAGACACAGTTACATGTCTTTAGATAGATGTGAAGTCCAAATAAAAGTATTTCCTAAAAATCCTTTACGAATGTTGCAAAAGTACAAGCAGCAAAGAAAGATTAGTGTGGGATGAACTTGAATTTTATTAGAATTCTGGATTTTATGAACAAGTGAAGAAAACAAATCTTTATTATGTGTTCTAAGATTAGTCACAATGGGCACAATTATTAAACAATCCACAGTTGTCATGTTGAAGCGCAAAAAGTATTTTATAAAGCCCATCAAAATTTTAAAATAGAAGGATACTCCAATGTGTGTGCAGACTGACACAGAATGAAAATGCTGAGACTCTACAATTATGTTTTTAGCATTACAATTAACTTCACAGTCCAGATCTGCTGAAGCAGTTAGCAAGACATTTATCAAGCCTGTTACCAAAGAAATGGTGACAGGGAGATTCAGGGATATAGCTAACAAAACGATTCATTAAATGCCCATGTCAAACAACAGTCCATCTCTTAGAGAAGATAACCAAATATATAAAGAAGTAATTATTATCTAGTATAAAAGTTGTTATAATTCACTGCAAAGCGATGAATTCATTTACACTGGGAATTCTTTGCTAATGTGTACAAATAAAGAAAATTTAAACTTATTGACACTTCTTGAGAAACAGCAGTGAGTCCTGGAATCCATGCTTTTGATTAAGCACATCTGCTACTAACGCCATAGCCAGATAAAAGAAAATAATTCAGTACACATATTCAAACAATTGCCAAGACAGGCAAATCTACCCGGTGTTATATTCATAGGGAAGCCATTGCAAAACGATGTAGGCATTTTAAGAGAAGTCCTTCACCACCAAATACTATGTGCTATCAGATTTGTAAATGGATGATCAACCATTATTTAATATGTGCTTTTTAAAAAAACTCATTCCCTATTTAGAAAAAGAGGTTCAGGTGTTCCTCAGTAAAAACCTTGGGCTTCTAGATGACTTTTATGATAAAGCACTCCATTAAAAATTAGGATATTTTACAAAGGATATTTTTAATTTCACTCAAAAATCTAAAATGCCAAAAACCTAAAATGCAAATCTAATAGGTGTTCCACATTGAAGAAAAAATAAATCCAGCAAAACTGAAGCCACAGAGTATACCTTTTAATCATGTCAAGGAGGATGTGTTTCATTGAGTGATTTGGCTACAACTTTATCTGAGGAATACATTCAAAATATATTGCACTATCTAAAAAGCTTGACTAATAGTCTTCTTCAGAATTACTTCCCAAACCATGGTAGTAATGAGTGAGTAAGAAAGCTTGTATATCACTTAGTAATTGGACAGTTTCTGAAGAACAATTCTGGAAGATATTTCAAAGGAATTCTTGAAACTAGAAATTATTAAAAAAAACCATTTTTATTTGGGTTAGAAATACACTGTCCAGTGTACTGGGAAATTTATCTACACTATCAGTGTACTGGTTAGAAATACACTGTCCCGTTACTTGGGAAATTTATTAAATATACAGGTAAATCATAATTCATTGAAATTCTCATCTTAAAGTTACAACATCAATCCAAATATTTCTTTAATTACTGATCATAATTCTAAGAGAAATATATTTAGTATTATTTTGGTAAATTGAATACATTTAATACTACTTTTTTTTTATATTGTTTGTTTCCTAAATTGTTTTTGTTTTCAAAGTTGCTTTCCTTTATGGCATATAATACTGGATTTGTAACTTATAATAACAATTTTCTTTTTGAAAAAATTATTTAAATAAACATGTGACTTGCCTTAAGAAAATTATTAAATGCATACTAGTACAAATAGTATGGTGTTTAGTATGAATAAAATAAAAAATTGTTCTGAAATGGTTTGGGAAACAATGTCCTGTTGAATTATTTCCTTTGTCATTAGTGTTTAGATCTGTTGCCTCTTAAATATGTTTTCTAAAATTGTATAATTCAATGATTTTTAGTATACTGGCAAGTTGATGCAACTATAATTTTAAGATAACTCATAATCTATTCTATTAAACCTTTGCATGGCTTCTTTTCACGTGGATCTTGATTGAAACTCTTAAATAAGCATTGTTGTTCTTTATATTTGTGTAGTTTTTCCTTGTACTAGTTTAAAATTTTTCAAAACTAGATAGTGAATTTATCACGGCTATTGTCTGGAGTATTGACCATATTTATGTTGTTTTTTTTTTCCTTTAAGTTGTTAATGTGATGAATTATGATTTGAATTTTCTAATATTTATCAACTTATAACTAAAATATAATCTGTTTTTCATGGTTAATTATTTGAGCACTGTTAAATTGATTTGGTACATTATATTCAGAATCCTGTATCAATTTTTATAAATGGCAACCACTTATGGTGTTATTTTATACTATTTAATCAATATTTATTAAGTTATGGTACCGACACAATTTGAAATATATTTCTTAATTTACAAAAAAATGGAGGAAGCTTCATAATTCTTTTTTTTCTGTATATTTTTTCTTAGCTAGACAATTTGAAAAAAAATTATGATCAACTAGCCTGGAAGAGAAAAAGTTATGAAAAGGAATATCTGGAAGCATTCAATAATTATTATGCAACAGTAAGTTGACCTTTTTCTACTTCTCCCTAGAGCTCTGTTCTCTGTTCCTAAATATTAACTCCTGCAACTAAAAGTAATGACATTATTACACATTTTTTTTTCTTTTTGAGATACATAACATGTATAAATGTTTCTCTTATTCTTAAAGAAACAAACATGGGATATTGAGCTTTCTAATGTTGCAAAAGACCTTTCAGATATTTCAATTGCATATACTCATTTGGCAGAAGAAAACAGAAAGCTTGGAATTGATATTGAAACCATGGCAGGTCTTATCAATGACAGGTAATTTTGCAAATATAATTTTTATTTTGATATAATATATTAAGTATGTTAAATATAATGTATCTCCTCATTTTACATGGATACATCTCTGGGGTGGTTTGGTGGTGTTTGTGTTTATCATCAGCTTAAATGTTGTTTATTTCTATTCTAAATGTTGCTCTTTAAAGCACTCTGAATCCCTTTAGAGATATCAAGTAGTGAAAAAATGATCTTACGAGGAGTTTTTGCTCACTCATATCATCTCCTTTTGACATGTCCTCTTACACTCAAAGACACTTTAAACTTACAGTATGTTTAATCAAGCTCCTGCTATCCTTCAGTCAACCCTCAATTCTTCCCAGCAACTACTAGTTTTCTTAGCTCAGAAACCTACAGGTTTTCTTGCTTTCTGTTTCTATTTCAACCCTCATATTCAACATATTAAGAAGAAATGTTTCACACACTAAATATCTTTTTATCTGTTAACACTGCTCGATCAGCACCCTGGAACAAGCTATCATCATGTCTAGCAAGAGCTTATAGTGACTTCCAAAGCTAGTTTACCTGCAGTCATTATGCTTCCTTTCTAATCCATTATCTACACTGTGGTGGGTTCATTCTTTTTTCTGTTTTTTGGTTTTTTGTTTTTTTTGACATAAGTATGATCAGTTCCTCTCCACACCTGCATTAATTTTAACAGGAATGAAGGGAAAATCCCCTCCTTAACATCTCCGACAAGGTCCCTGAATAGGCAGACATACCTGCCTCTGTTGTCTCATATCACATTTGGTTCAAATACTATAGCCTTGCTTCATCTTCTCCTATTTGCCACGTGTTTGGCAGCCCATATGGCATTTGTGTGCTATCTCCTTTTCCTATAGTATTTTTCCTGTTCCTTTTACCCAGCAAATTACTCTTTATCCTTAAGACAGTTTTGGAGTGAGTTCTGAGAAGCTTTTTCATTGATTGTTAAATCAATGAAATCCAAGTTAAATCCAATTCTTATATTATGTGTATATATGGCACACATACTTTTCTCCTTCAGATCTCTTGCCATATTTGCAATTTTTGTGTGCACATATTTGACTCTTGTTCATCTCCCTCAAAAAACGTGATCTGTGAGGGCAGACATAGGCCATGTCTGTATTCTCTTCATCACTGAATCTGCATCATCAAGCATGGTACATGACATACTGTGCTATCCAAAGTTAATTATTGAAGGGAAAGAAAGAACAAAGAAGGGAAAGGGGTAATAATGATATTGGATGATTGTATAGGAAGTTGTTAAAATTTCTTAGTGATCGTTTTATCTTTGGAAATGCTAGAATGAAACTATAAGATTTATCTATATGTTGAAAAGAATTTTGAAAAGACAGCAAAAGGAACATTGTTTTCCAAAAGATAACTTAAAATTGTACTTGTTAATGTTACTACATTTTATTAAGAGAGCCATAGGAGAAAAAATAAAAATTCTGAAGCTAATGAGAAGACCCCTCTGGAAGAAAGGAAGTGTGAGAGTTAGCATTTATGAGATTATCTTGCCAACAAGCGTCTATCTCATCTTAGTGGTATACAAGTAGAAAGGTTTATTTCTCACTTGCATTGCAATTTAGCTGTGTCTGCGTTTCATGTTATTTCTACTTCTTAGATTCAGGGTGAAGAATCAGATCCTGCTAGGGCACATTGCTCTGGTAAGCACAGATTCATTAGTGAGATCACTTGATGACCCTTACAGCTTCCACAGGAAGATGATAAGTGTTTCTTTTGCTCACACTCCATTGAACAAAGCAAGTCATATGGCCAAGCCTGATGTCAACAGGGTGGGAAGTCTAATCCTCTTAAAAAGAGAGACAGTACATAATTGAGAATAGTGATACAGTCTATCACATGTAGTGGAAATGTAGCCTTGGTTATTGTAAAGGATTTCCAGTGTATACATTGTGCTTGTCCAGTTAATATTTAAAAAAATTTTTTTTCAATGTTTTTAATTTATTTTTGGGACAGAGAGAGACAGAGCATGAACGGGGGAGGGGCAGAGAGAGAGGGAGACACAGAATCGGAAACAGGCTCCAGGCTCCGAGCCATCAGCCCAGAGCCTGACGCGGGGCTCGAACTCACGGACCGCGAGATCGTGACCTGGCTGAAGTCGGACGCTTAACCGACTGTTAATATTTTAGATATCACTTAATTACTTAACTTTTCTTTTAGATTTTCACTTGAAATTAAAAAAATAAGTGATGATTTTAACAGCAGATTAGTCAACAAAGAATTAGCGAAAGATTAGTGAAATCAAAGAAATTAAGAGATATACAGGTAAGAGTCAGGTCTACCACATGTTTAAGTGATGTTCCAAAAGACGAGAAGATAAAAAAAGGACAGAGATAATATTTGAGGAGATAATATCAGTTCATATATGGCAAACATTTCTTACATTCGTGTTTCACTGGTGAGTCTCTCACTCTTAATAGTCGATAGGTAGGTAGGTAGCTAGCAAGGTAAATAGGTAGGTAGGTAGATAGATAGATGCAAAAATAATTACTCATTTCGAAACTTTATTTGCTGTCACAAACTATGAGTCTGGAGTTCTGTCTTGTCCAGTAAGAGAGCGGACACAGAATTGAATACGAGAGAGGCTAGTGTATGGGAGGAGACAAGGGCCTGAACAGGGGTTTCATCTTGACTTTATTGAGCTCACAAGGTATTTCCCACGTGGTGAACGTGAAGAAAACAAGATCTTACACACTTGGCAAAAGTGAAGAAAACAATCAGATAGTAATCATTAACTTGTATGTGTAAGAAGCAAAGGGTCTGGGGGGGACAAGTGGAGTTTTTGATCCAAATAAAATCGTATATTGGCATCAGATGGAAAGTAATTTCCGTGATATAACAAGTGATATAATAAGTTATTCGTGATCCATTACAATATCTCGCTACCTAACCTCAGGCGCTTTTGCCCGGTGGCGGCTGTCGGCCCTAAGCTTTTTAACCCATTTATGTAAGTAGAACCTGTTTCCCCACAGTTTGTTTTACTTCCAAATCTTCTAAGTAATTTTATAATTCCCTGTTTGATATAGATATTTACAGCTTATCTTTTGCTTTTCAACATAGTTATTCAAAATAGTTATTATTTTATCTAAATCTAATAATTTAAATATCTGTAGTCTTTGTCATTTATTTTTGCATCTTATTCTCCTAACTCATGCTTTTGCTATCTTTTTCCCTTGTGCTCTTGGCTATTTTTATTGTGTGTTGTCCACTTTCTTCTGGAAACTATTTGTGGAAAATCTTTGAGTCCTAAGATAAAATTGAGTTAACATTTGCAACCTTATATTTATGAGAGGGATTCTTTTTTTCAATTTTGCCCTTGTATATGCCCAAGACTTTTTTTCATTTCCCAAACCATGATATTCAAATAATTTTTACAGATATTCAAATAATGTATTTGAGGTTTGTATAACAATGTAACAAGAATTCTATTATATTATGTTGGGAATAAAAGGACATACAATTAGTGTCATTATGGATGAAAAAACTCAGTAACATATTAGTTATTTTCTCTATTTATTGAAATGATTTTAGGTTTTCAATCTGTTTTTGCACTTTTTTGTATTTTCTTTTCTACAAAAAATAGACATTATAACAACAGTGCAAAAAGATCATACAAGATTCTTTCATTTTGAAAGCACTGGAAGTTTTGGTAAAATGGAGCTTTGGATATCTGTAAAAAACTCTATTATATGGGTGTGTCATGATTTTTTCATAATTACTCTAATATTTACTTTTAGGTTGTTTTTATTTTCATGACATAAACATTGTGGCAATTATTTTTCAGAAATCTTAGCTTTTTAAAATTTCAAGTAGATTTCTGGAAGTAGATGGCTATAATGCTTTTAAATTCCTAATACCTTTAAAAAAATAAATTTCTAATACCTTTCTAAACCTACTTTCCAGAAAGACTATGTCATTTATTGAAGCTGAGCAGTACATAAGCTTGTTCTGTGATGAACTTGTGCTAACATTGAGCGCTGTGTTTTTTCCAAGTTGATAAGTGAAAAAATGCATCCTCAATGTTGTTTCAAACTTTCAAACATTTCTTTGATCACTAATGAGGTGGAATATTTATATATCCTCTATTGAATTCTGCTTTTTCTAGAGAATTCTTGTGTGCTTCCAAGGAAAAAATAAAGAACTTGGGATTCAGAAAGGCAAAGTGCCTTTTTGAAGTTCTCACAGCCTAATACCACTGGCATTTGAAACTTGATTTTCTGTATTCAGATTCAGGATTTTTTTACCTTCTCTTATTTTTTTTTGCAATTTAATGTGATTTCAGTTTAACTGATGTTTAATAAATGTTCAAATACGCTTGACATATTACTCCAATGATAACAATCTCAAATAGCAGCCTTAACATTAAAATGCAGTTGTCTCAGGGTACAGGTAAGATTGTGCTGAATTGCACTTTGACTTTGTGGCTAGAGCTTAGAGCAAATGCTTGATCTGACTTGTGTGTCTGTCTCTGTGTGCATGTGTGTGCGTGTGTGTGTGTGTGCACATGAACACATATTTTTATGTGGCAGGCAGGTAGAGACAAACACTGAGGGTAGGGAACTAACTTTCGACTCTGCTGAAGACCATGGAAATGCACCAAAGAAGCTGTATGGTCAGATTCTCTTTTAAAGATATCACTTTGGTGGTAATTGAATGAGTTAAGCTTTGAATAACTGGTTTGATGGTGGTTCCAGACACTAACTTGGGAAATATACGGAGGAAAAACAGAAAGGTTGGAGGGAAGATGTTGATATGTTTGGTTTGGAATCGTGTATGGCATGATTCAAGTGTACGTATCTAGATATCACTCTGACGGATAGGTCTGAAATTGAGGAAAGATGTTCATGGAGATGGAAGTTCCATGTTAAATGTAGAAGGCTTTAACTTGGCAAGCAAAATTTTCTATGTCTACTACTTCATTTACTGCTTGAAAATTAGAATTTTTATGAGATAGAAATTTTGTGGGATAAATT